CTCTATATTTATAAACTATATCAGATATTCTGATATAGTTTCTAATTATGATAGACTGATTTAATTTAAAGTAATCTTAAGTCAACAGTGCAACGATTCTGTGTAAAGAGACCCAACCAAAAATTCAAAAAAGAAAATGCTTGCAATTTGTTTGAGATATGGACACAATGACGGATTTTTTAAATCAGAGCAAAAGAATATATTTGTTAAAAAAAAGCCAAAAGAGAAAAAAAATCGATTATGTAAAATTGAAGAAGTACAAGAATTAAATGCGGATGTCTTAGCTCCTAGACCTGAGTTCTGCGAAGCTGTACAAAATAATCGAACCAAGCACTAAGTCCTTCTTAACAAATTTTCTATATCTGTAAAGGTTTTGTATTCAAGATAATAGAACATTTTTTCCAGCTACTTTGCATGAGTGGCTTAAAGTACAGGTCACTCATAAATTTCATTCATAAGTCATTGATAAGCTTATCAAATAGATTGGAATTATTCATATCGCCAGTTAAATAGTAGCAGCTAGCATATTCCTCATTGACTTTTGATAGTACTTTTTGGAAAACAATGAAAATGTGTCGCATTTCCGCAAAGAGCATGAAATATAGATTTTCCCGCCTCCCATCATTTCTCAATATTGATAGTTTCATAAAAGAGTTTTTTAAATTAGAAATGAACTCACCTATAATTGAAGGTAATTGAACTGTTGATGATTATACGAATATTTATTATACCAATAACTCAACTGATTTATTATAGTACCCCAATATTTATTAGTGATTAAATTATGAGGCATAGTCTGATGTCCGAATGGATTGGACACATCCCTACAATATATATTTTTTCATATTATAAGAAAAGACTTCTAGCAGAAAAATATAATTAAATTTCTAAATTATCTATCAAAAGAAATTTGAAAAATATTTCGTATGGGTCGTCATGTGATTTTTATGATCAATTCGCGGTATGAAGCATCAGAAATTTATCAAAATTATAAATAGGTTGCGGAAATCTTAAGTTTTCTGTGGCAGAAAATGGTCTTATTAAGTATTTGATTGCTTTAGTTGCATTGTTTAACTCAGTAGTATTTTTAAGAAGAAAATAAACAGTCTGACTGCTCTCGATTTTCTGTGATTTTGTGGAATTCAAAATATTGAAATATTGGCGTAATCTAAATTATTCAAAAAATCACGGTATTTCAATATACTCGAAGAGCAACGGACTGTAAAGATTTTCGAAGAATGTTTTCTATAATTGAGAATTGGCCACACAAGATTAGACCTCTAATGTTGGTAAAAGTTAAACTTCAATTGAAGCTTGTATGAAAGTAGTTTGGTTTGCTCGGTTTGCCACAAACTGAACCGTAGAAGAATCAGTTAATTTTTTTCGTCAAAGTTAATAAGATTCTGAAAGTTTATTTAATAATAAAACTTGGTTAGAATGTCATTTGCCTTGCAATCCTATTAATTTATCAGCCTCAGCTTCACTATAATCTTAATTATATGCAACTTAGGTCTAACATGGTCTGATCACGTTACTTCACTCGTAAATTTCAGACAACCTTCTCAAAATGGTGCCTAGTGAGGGTATTTCTGCGACGGTTGGCACGAATTTATATCAACTGCTTAAACTTGTAGAAGCCAATCAAGAATTATACGCAACAGCCCCTTTTTACTTTAGTTTGTCTATAAATATGAATATACAAATAGTTTCGGATAGCAGAAAATGCCGACATTTTAATACAGCTTATGTGGACAAAAGTTTTCAGTAATTGTCTTTATGTTACTTAATTTATTAAATTGATGGGGCTTGTTGCTGCTTTTGCCCTGCTTTCATTGCTAGAAGAAGTAAGGAAGTTCCATTCTATTAGTTACATGATGAATTCGGGTCTTCTGTTTGGATCTCAAAAATTTTGGTGATCTATATTGGGGAATTAATTACTCCAATTAGTGTTGTAAAGTAACACTAGACTTTGAAAAATAGTTAAACTATTCACGTTTTCTTTCAAGCTCTAATCAAATTTTTTAAATATTTGAAGCAATTCCATCAAATGAAGTGAAATAGACGATGCATTCTTTCTTAGGGAGTAACACGCTTACTTTTGCTTCTGTTAATCCGGTTTTTGGAAAACTATCTTCCCATTAACTTGCGTTTTTGTTCACAAAAAGAAGAAAATGTTTTTCATTCATTATTTAAAAAATGAGAACCAGGTATACTGATATTTTTAATAAAAAGACGGCACACCTCTTCACCCCTTAGCAGTACGGTTTTTGCCGCTTGAATGGCCATTTTAACATACATTATTTCTACTGGCGCTTGCTCTTGCGTTGCAAAATCCAGACATTTTATCACATGAACACGTTATCCATTCATTAAATTTAACCCTGGTTATACGAAGAAAAGCAGCCACACTGGAACAAAAATCAATACACCTGCCAGTGTTACTTTGTAACATTTCGCGCTCTAAAGTGTGGAACTTGTTCCGACTACGGGAATATTAAGTTTTCGCGTTCCATGTTTTCCCATGGGAATGGCAACGGCCTGAAAATTTGCTCTCTATTACAAGGACTATTGACCTCTTTGTGTTCTAGTTGGAGGTGTCGGAAGCCAGAGTCATAACGTTAGGAAGTTTGCCTTCATAAAGGCTAAATATAACACCCCATCAAGTGTGTGTTTGGATTCCTGGAGATTGATGATAAATGCGACAAGGGGATGGAACGGTGGTTGAACTTGCGTATACGGGAAAATGTGATCTCCCTCAGGAAGAAGCGTTGCCACATAATGTGAACATTTAAGCCCGATATATTACAGATTAATTATATTTCAATTTCATCCAAACTCGCTTGAAGCTCTGCTCATGTCAAAGAAAAAATTTGCAATTGCGACTCTGTGAATATATTTCCAGTAAGCAACCAAAAGCGGTCACTGATTAATTTTATATTTGGCATTGTCGTATTTCAGCTAAGTCAACAATTGAACTGGGATTAATGGTTTTCATTCATTTAAAGGGCCAATTGTATGGACTCAACTCAATCCAACAGAAAACATTTCCGAATAATGTACCATGTAGAATAAAGATGTTTCAAAAACGCTTTGAAGGGCGAAGATGAAGCGAATTGATGCGGTAGTAAGACTACAAAACAACGTTTGACAAATTAAATATGGTAAAAAAATCAGTAACACTTACAATTTACTTGGACTAGGTTGACGGTTATAACTGATTAAAAATAAATTCGGATAGTTTAAAAAACAAATGTAATTCTCAAACTTTTAAGGACAATATTAGCAAAGCTGAGTTGAAAGTTGAATACAGCTTTCTTTGCATTATATTTCTATATATATATATAAATAATCTTTATTTCCTACAGAAAAAGGCTATCGACCCAATCGGTCTTTCTGCCCTTGTTTAGTATATATGTGCCTTAGCCTA